TAATTATTCTAAGTGTCAACAGAAGAATTTGAACCCAAACCTATTGCATAGCGGTCTGACAACCTATCCACTACACTAGATCACCAGACCTACAACTAATGTAGAAAATCACATTTTACATTATAATGAAATTACATTATAACTTATGAAACTGTAATAAAACTTTATATTATATACATTGTCACATGATAATTGCACTAGCATTACAAAAGTTTTGCCAGTATTAATAGATATCCATTATTATATTTAGAGCTATAATTTTTATACTCATTATTATAAAAATTTTAATCAAAATTATTCGCATGATTAAAATTACATGTAATTTTAATTTCAGTAACTTACACATAAACTTATATAAAATTACATAAAACTATGATAATTTTACAACTCTAACTACTAATATTTATAAGTATTATTTATAACATTATAGTATAAATTTCGTAATTGTTTATCTCAACTAATGCTAATATTCAAGCACTTCATATGAACATGAGTATGCACCACTTCCAATCTGTTAACCTCGCATAAACCTGAATTCTGAGAAAAACTAAATAATACATATAATGAATAACGCTATAACAATATCAAAAAATAATTATATAAGCATAATAAAATAATTATTTTATTTTTAAATAAATATAAAATATATATACTAACAAGAAATTTACAAGATAAAACTATCCAAACCTGGTTTGTATTCCACACGATCATTCAGCTATTTACTAATCTACAGAAAATATTTACTACTATATTAGATAATCCTTTACAAATCTTATATAAACCCTCAAATTATAAACAAATAATCGCAAAATAACAACTATGCCATGTTTCAGTAGTACTATCATAAAGATAAACCAAGTTTGACAATATATAAAAGAAAATATTAATTCAATTATGTTATGGGCTATTGGCACATATCCAGTTGAACAAGACGACAATGATATTGAAATGATTATATTCATACTGATTAACTCTAATGATAGAGATCCTGACAGTCAAGTGATTTTCGAAAAGAACAAGTACTATGCTATTAGTAGAAAAATTATTCCTGAAGATTATTGTAGTATTAAAAGACCAAAAGTATTATTATTAAAATTTTATATATTTTGAAAAAAACAATAAATAATAAATTTGTTACTTATTTTATAATATTTATTAAACTCAGATGACAGTTGCAACATCAACACATGTTGCAATTAATAGAATAATCAACAGACAATTTAATTCAAATAACTGTCTATTAAACACTTCTTTGGTTGGCGTAGCTCAGTACACACCTGAATAACTTAAAAATAATGAAAATGCTATCGTTAAAACCTTGGTTACTGACTATACTACTTAAGAACACAACTTTATAGTAACATTATGTATCCATACGCTAATTCTCAGTTCAAACATTTTAAAAATTCTATTCACTCTAATAAATCTATGCTATTCATCGTCAGCTAGCTAGAAGTCATTCAAAATGAATTGTACATATATGCAAAAGATATCTCATATATTGATATTCAAACACTCACCAAAAAATGAACTTTAGATACTAATAACTCTCAAATTTCAACAACATCACCTAATTCAACTCGATCTAAACTTTTAGTTACACATCAAAGTATCTCTAAAGATACTGAAAAAAATCTTGAAAATGCTATCGTTAAAACCTTGGTT